TTGCAGTGTATCAACCTGTCATCAAACACAAGTTTTATCATTTCGCACTTGCCAGCCAGTGACGGGTGGCTGGCTGGATTACTCCCTGCAAACATGTGCTACATAAATAAGGAGCATATTTCATGGCCCCTGATTTTGCAAAAAAAGGCAACGTCACATTAAACAACAAATTGAAGGCTCAAGACGAAAGTCATAACGCCCGGGAAAAATGAAATGAAATCATGTAAATTTATGCAGCGGATTAACACGAATATTGCACGCAAAAAATACAAGGAACAAATCTCTGCCAAATGGGAGGAGGTACAGGACAAACACATACGCAAATCCATGAGAACGCCCCCTTTTGACATCCCACACATATGTGGTGTTTTTTATGCCAATGTTCATGAGAAGCCATAGGCAAATACTAATTGTGTCCCATATGCGTAGAGGTATGGTCGGAAACCTAAAGCGTTTATTGCCAGGATTTGCAAACAATCTTTAATAAAATTACAAAACAACAGTACAAAAAACAACACAAAAGAAAAACACATGATGATAATTTAGGGGAGAGAAAAATTCAGCAAAATTCCAAACACCAAGGGTAGCTAGGTGTTGGCAGCGCTTAAAAGAAATTATGATTTCTTGGCATTTGTTATTTTTTTAGCCCAGATATTGTCTGCTTTCTTTTCCACCCCTCCCCGCTATAAACATAAAACGATGGTGTGGAACGAATAACCACAAAATGTACATTTAAGTAGCTAATAAAGATTTTTTTGCCCTTTTTCGTTGTTGTTTTTTGTTTTGCCGTCTCTTATGTTGTCATAATTACAAGTATCTTTTTTCTTGCCACAAGTATCATCGTCGTCGTCTCTAGCCGGGTGCTTGCTTTGTGGCATAATCCCATTACAATGACTTGGTGTTCTTTTTTTTTGTTGAGGGGAAATTCTTACCACTTGCCGGCATTTAATTTTAGCTGGTGTTATCTTTTAAAAAAAGGAATGGGCTACAACAAGAATTTGAGGAACATGATTTGTCTGATTTAAAAATTCAAGATGTCCTAAAAAACGAATACATTTTTTGTAGGAGACCCTTATCCGGACAACGTTTTCCTACAGAAAACTATGTATGGCTAATGTTTCCCATTGTTTTCGATTAGAAAATGATATCCTGATGAGGGATTTCGAAAGAAAACGCCATGCGTATAAATTTTTCCTACAGAAATCGTCATGCTCATAAATAAATTCCATATAAAATGTCATAGAAGGAATTCTTACAGAAAATCCAATCGGATATATTTTTCTGTCCTAACTTCAAGTTCTAGCAATGACGGCTATGCAACTGTAATGACACCACTTTTAACAGAGATCCAGTGAAAAACTTCATCGTTATAAACTTCAACTCTGTTATAAATCTAAATCTCTGTTATTATCCAACGTCTTTAATTCTTAATTCCTTACTATTGCTCTCTGAGAAACTTAATGTTATATTCGCACTCTCTCGCTTTCTCTTATGTTAAGGTACGTTTACATAGACGTATTCTTCAACTTCAACCCAATTAATTAAAATAACTGATATACAGGGTGAGATAAAAAAAAACTGCAACAAAGTCAAACGCCATAAATTTTACATTTATTTAAGTTTTATCGAATGAAAGCAAAACAAGTCTGAAATAGCATCACAATTTTAGAATAAGTTTAAATTTGTTCGAATTGGTACCCTTTGACACGAATTATGGCCCTCAAACTTCTAATGAAACAGTTCCACGCCACCCGAATGTTGCTCTGCGATATTTTGGCCCATTCCCGCCAAAGCGCTTGCTTGAGGTGATCGACACTTTGATATTTTTTAGTGCCAACCTTGCTTTCCAAAAAAGTCCCGACACAATAGTCCAACGGATTGGTATCCGAGGATTTTTGCGGCCATTGTGAGCTGGAAATGAAGCGTGAACCTCATTTTGTAACCATTCTTGGGTGGCAGGTGCTGAGTGCGATTGTTCTGATCCCTGTTGAAATGTCCAAGGTCTGCGGCTAAATTTTTTGTGTGCCCAAGGCTTTAATACGCCCTCCAGAATAATTTCGCAATAATATTCGGCATTTATTCTGATGCCACGGTCGATTAATGCGAACGGAGAGCGACCATCGGATGTTATGACAGCCCATACTATCACCATGGCCGGCGCTTGAGGTCAGGCGGCCAACCGAAGGTGCACATTTTCAGCTGACCTCTTTGAACATGATCATTTTGTTTGTTTACAAACTGCTGTACAACGAATGCTTTCTCATCGGAGAAAACCAAATTCGGCAGTTCACCACATTCGGCCAAGCGAAGCAGCTCTTTTGAGTCTATTTTCTTTCTGTTGCGGTGTAAGTTCTAGTACTTTTTGGAATTTGGGTTTACTCCGAGCTCAGTTTTCAATATTTGTCGAATGGAATGTTGCGATATGTTCAGTTTACGAGTCATTTTTCGGCCATTGCGACGCGGGCTTCGATCAAGTCGCTTCTTTACTTTTCGAACCATTTTCGCTGATATTGCTGTTTTCTTTCGTCCACTTCCTTGACGTCGGGCTACGCTACCAGTATCACGTTAACGAGCAATGATACGAGACACAAAAGATTTATTCACATTTAAATGCTGGAGTGCGATAGTCACTTGAGGTTTTCCAGCCAAATATAAAGAAATCACACTATCACGCTTGAATTTCATCACGAATAACTTTTTTTCTGGAAAATTCTCACCAAAATGCTTTTGTACGCTTGTAAACAATATAATGAGCTGTCACTGGAATAATTTTAACAGCTATCGGACGAGTGGCTTAGAAATGACAGCACTCTGAAATTGGTTGCAGTTTCTTCATCTCTCCCTGTATATACAGTATTTGGTAAAAAATTTTATACAATTGTACAATTTTGAAAGGATAACCACTAGCCAAGGTGGTGAAGAGCTAACCCATTACCTCACCCATGACAGCAACAATAAAAGCAATAATCCAGTGAAAACCATTACAAAATTCAATTGTGTTCATTGCTTTTTTATCTGTCGTTAACTTTTTTGTTGTTGTATCTCACATTTCAACAATCACGATTACATTGCGAACAATAGGCAATGACAAGTAGAGGTATACGGCCAGGATGTGCAAAAGCAAAAAATGAACTAAAAAAATTGAAATCACCATAACAACCACCTGAAACAAATGTCCGCCAGAGTCAGCTGCCTGACAGTCCGAGTGAAGTTCACTTAAGCAATGTGTTTTGCATATTAAATACTCCCGTTTGGTCATTACGAAGCGAGGCTGCTGCACCCGACTGACAGCATCATTAAAAAAATGCAATCAGTGTAGACCAGCTTCAAGTCATGTTCCAACGCAGCACATTTCTCTTACTTCCGTTTCCTGGTAAAACATAAAAAAAACACTCAACAACAATGAGAAAATTATGCTAACCTGGAATACAAAATACATTTTATTACTCTACACTAGTCCTTGGTTAACCCGCATTCCTTTAATTTGAACTTTTCTTTGTAGAAAAATCTTGCTCCAAATCTCACTTCTTCAACTTCTGTGATGAAACATCAGAAGTACAGCAACGTCATGTGGGTTTATGTTCTGATTTTAAAAAAGGACTTTTCCCCAGCAACCAGAATGCAAAATTACTCTCCATGTCACCTGTAGGTTTGTGCAAGTGTGTGGTCACACGTGCTTTAAATAACCTACTCTCCTTTACCCATCCACGTGAACATAATTGTCCACTCCTTTTTTTAACAAATTCCTGTGGCATTCAATGAAAAATTGTTTTTATCAATTTGATGTCCTCTCTTAACCACTTACAACACTTAAACAAGTGACGGAAAATTGTCATGTTTGTGTGCATGTCCTGTTGGACAATTAGTGGGACAGTGGCTGACACTCTTTTAGTATTCCATGTACATCGTGTACATCTCTTCCGCCATACGGTGCTTTCGAATGAGGGGAGTGGAGGGTGGTAGAAGCAATGCAATTTTTTCATATTTCAAAATTTTAAATTTACTTCAGCTATGTTCCAGCCGAAGGTTGTTCCAATATTCATTTCTACAAAATGTTATTAAATGAATAACGTGGAGATTGCATTTAATTGCAAATCATTGACGCATAAAATTTTAATTGTATTTTAAGTAACGGTTGATTTGATGTCACCCACAGAGGAGACACCGTGCAGTGAAATGGCCTACAAGACCATGTACATTTTATTGCAGGAAATAAATGGTGTTGGCACACATAGCAATGGTTCGATTTAAGTGTGTCACATAAATATTTATTTATTTATTTATTATTTTTTTAATAAGAAAGCGAAATTTACTCTAATCTCCGATTGTGAAAAAACAAATGTAAGACATCAGACCATATTGATGGATTATATTCCAATTGTATTGATCCTTCTCTTGGCAATCTCTGTGTTAAACATCAGCAAATGTTTACAATTTATGCTTGAAATCTAACGGTATGTTAAAGATAATAATAATAAAAATTTTCCTTTGATATTGCATAATCAATTATCCCAATATTATCCCAATGAGAAAACATTTTTAATTTCAGTTTCAACTTTTTGGAAGCATCGCCATCTATATGTCACAAATAGTTAAAAGTTTTGTAATAACCGTCACAGAGTTGCATTACATAGAAAAGGCATATGCCAGAGTGTTAAAGCAACGCCGTCCCAACAAAGTCTTTCAACTCTGCAACGTCAATGGTGGCGGGAAAATCACTCGGCTCCGTTCTATGGTAAGACTTCATCGTCCCAACTACGCCTTGCAGATATTATGTATTGCCTTTTTTTATCGTTTTTTCCCATTTTTTTTATTTATTTATTTATCATTTCGATCGTTTTTAGCAATACTTGCTTCAATTTTAATCCAACCTTCAAAAACTCACAGCTGTTGCTTTTGTTTTGATTTTGACGTTTATCAATCGTTTTGCCTTGTTCTTGGATTCATATTTCACGCCGATGTTTTTCTAACCGCAACTCTGTATTCACAGACCATCTGTCTCTCTCTCTCATCATTCTTGGCTGAGAGTGTGGTGGCGTTAGTACGTCTTTATCCCATTTAATTGGAAATTAAAACCTACAAATATCTCTCTTCCTATTAGGAGGAGGTAAATTATTCTAGCTGGAACTAGAAATACCAACAAATACAGTACAAAGAAAACATCTAACCAGAAATATAAATAATTCAGTGTTCATTTAAAAGGAAAAGGTGCATCGTCTGCCTTCTTTTAACAAGTGATTGACCTCGAGGTAAAGTCAACAACAGAAGTAGCAGCAGCAAAAGCAGCGAGACACATAAAGACAAATAACATCAGAAACATCATCATCGCCAACCCAAAACCAAGTGAAGCAACAATTTTTGTATTGTTTTTCGAGAGACTCGGATGTCGTTGTGTTAGTGTGTCTAGTTAGAAAAGAAGTAGTCTATGCTAGCTTCTAGTGTGAAGTGATGTACTGAACTAGAAAACAAGTGCTTCTGGCTTTACTTGACTGCATAGGAATTAACTTGACTGGTGTTGTTGAGCTGCGTTCGGAACGGAGGGAAACGAAAAAGGTCAAGAATTTTTATAGAACAACAACAGCAATACCACCGCAGCGTGGAGAGAGAGCGGAATCAAGAATCAGAGTAAGAAGTGTCGTCTTACCCCCACAAACTGAACAAAGCAATCAAAAGAGTAAGGGGACCGAGCAAAAGGTGTGCGGCGACGGGGCGACATTATAAAGCTCCGACAATGGGCACAAGTGGTTTTCAAGCTGAAGGTGAGGCTCAAGGCTATTGTAGTCACATTCATGTTACTCTACACATCATTCTTAGAAGTACTTGCTGCTACCTGTTATCGTTGTTTTTTGTTCTTTTTTTTTTTTTGTTGATTCCATTTTTGCAGAAAAATATTTTGTGAATCATCCCACGTCAACTCATGGAGTTGGGCCTGGTTCTGTAGCTGGCGGTTCATCAACGTCAGTGCCCACCAACATGAATGTGGAGCTGTGTTTGGTTTGCGGCGATCGGGCCTCGGGACGACATTATGGAGCTATCAGTTGTGAGGGATGTAAGGGATTCTTCAAGCGATCGATACGCAAACAATTGGGCTACCAGTGTCGCGGAGCAATGAACTGCGAGGTCACCAAGCACCATCGTAATCGTTGCCAGTTCTGCAGATTGCAGAAATGTCTGGCCAGCGGCATGAGAAGTGATTGTAATTTTCATTTAATAATGTCGACAAACATCCTAACACAAATTCAAAAAGAAATCTATACTTTGGCTATGACTAACCACAGACATCCTCCTTTTGGTTACCAAGCTCACCCATATTCATCACATCTGTGCATTCTTCAAAATCATTACACACAAACATATACCCACATACATACATCCACATAAACGGGAACTGAAATTCTAAATGTGAATGTCAGCAAATTTTGCGGCAATCCAGTTTTTCTGCATGCTCATTTCTTCATAGGAAATACCTGTTGCTTTCGAGATTTTTATCATTGTTTTTGTTTTATTTCCATTTGTTTGAAATCTCTAGCTGTACAGCATGAACGGAAACCAATTATTGACAAAAAGGATCCTATGTCATCGGCCTCCACTAGTCAAGGATTGCCAGTGTCTGCAGGTGGAAGTGGCTCGACTGCATCGTCAATGAAATCAAATTCTAGTCCACAATTCCATCAGAGATCGAAATTGTCACCTTTGTTCAATCACAATTTAAATGCAGCTGCAGCAGCATCAAATGCAGCCGCTGCGGCGGCTTTCTCTTCATCTGCGGCTGCCGGGATATTCCCAATGGGGTTAAATTTTGCCGAACTAACACAAACATTAAGTAAGTACAATCTAATAATTTTGAAACTATTTTAAAATATCCATCCCTGTACGTCTCTAGTGCTGGCAACCCAACAACAGCAGCAACAACAAGCTCAACAGCAGCAGCAGCAACAACAACTGTCCAGTCAATCGTCTACCAGTTCCAACAAGCACATGAGCTATTCGCCAGAGCCTAAAAATCAAATTGAAGAGACCAAGGATGACGATGATGATGCCTTCGACAATTCAACCACAATGTGCTTGCAAAATCTCTCCAACAACAATAATCAAAACATCAACTTTAATCTTGACGCCCTAACACCAAATCCTGCAACAGTTGGTTTTATTCAGACAGCCCTAGACAAGAGGGTCATTGAAAAGGCATTGCAGCTTCTGCAGCCCATAAAACAACAATTAGACAATATGTCAACTGGAGGAAATGGGTTGTCCATCAAAAATGAACTTAACGAAGACGATGATATGGGTGATCAAAGTAGCAACGAGGACGATTTCAATGACACCATGGACATGGATGAGGGTGGAGCTGAGTTCTTGGCCAACGAAGCAATTTTTGAGAATGATTTGATATCTTCCAACTATGCCAGTTTCAACTTACAAACGCCGGCTTTGGTATCCTCCTACTTCAATGTCCACTATGTGTGTGAGTCCGGTTCGCGCATTATCTTCCTCACAATTGTTTGGCTGCGCAAGGTGCCAGCTTTCATGGAATTATCACAACGTGCTCAAATAACATTACTACGGTCGGCCTGGCCCGCATTGCTGGCAATCAGTGTGGCCCAAGTTCGTAACCTCTCCCAGCGTACCATAATAAGCACCTTGATTACCAATGTTCGTCAATTGGCCAATGAGAAAATCGAGCCACAGAAGATAAAGAAACTAAGTGAACACATTGCTCGTCTAAATTCGTTCATACAAAGCATTCAGTCATTGGAGTGCAGCGATATGGAATATGCCTTTTTGCGTTTAGCCTGTCTATTCAATGGCCACTGTTTTGTGAAACGCAAGGATCAGAATTTACGCTCCTTTGTACAGCGCGTGCAGCAATACAGTCTCACTAGTCTAAGAAAGCTGATAATGTCCCAAGAAATACCCGCCTACGAAGCGGACGAACGTTTCAATAACATCGTTCTCAACCTTTTGCCGTTGAGTGCCTTAGAGTCGGAAGCAATAGAAGAATTGTTCTTTTCAAACTTGGTGGGTCAAGTGCAAATCGACAATATGCTACCCTACATCGTAACATTGAGTAATAGCATAGGCAGTTTGAACTGTTAAGCGAACTTGTGTTTCGCCTTATTGTTTTCCGTTTTTTTTTTCTTTTTTTACATTACTAGACTGAACACATATATGAATTATTGATGATAATAAACGTGAGAAGCTCACAACCTTAGATGTAGAGAAGTAGATTTAAAGTTTCTTTTCAAAAAACAACAAAAGTTAAGTTAATAAAGAGAAAAATCTTTTTTTTGTAATTTTACCAAATGCATTCGTTTTTTCCTTACCTTGTGGACCTTGAGGTGGACACTTGGTAAGTTTCAATTTATTTTCGTCAATTTGAATTTGCTTATCTCTCGGCTTCGTGATTGTATTCTTAAACTAAATTGTGTGTTTGTTTGAGTGTGCGAATTTTCTTAAATCAAAGTAAACTTGGCGGCACGTTTACGCCATTCAAGTAATGCGGGAGTTAAATCTTTGTCGGCTATTGCAGGCATACGACGTAAGGAACTGTGGACTCCAATATCGGCAATGGACATTTTGTCTCCACCGAAATATTGTTGTTTTTGCAGGCGGATGTTTAGAATGCGAATGATATTGGCTCTGGCCTTGGGAGTATTGCAACGCAACAGTTGATAGCATATGTCCAGCACTGCATCAATTTCATTGCAAAGGGGGGAATCTTCGTAGCGGTACTCGGCTGGGCCAACACGTCCCAAATATCGAATGATGTTCACCTCACCATAAATGGGAACATACATGGTGGGTGAGCTGATCATTTCTGTGTGTTCGCCTGTAACAAAAGAATACTGTAAATATGTTTCACATTCAAAGAGTTGAGATAAACATACAGTTTTTCCATATGAGTGTTACATTGACTTTGGGTTTGCTGGGATCAACTTTTACTCTCTTTAGGGCCTCTTCAAAGGCTTTAGCCTCTTTGCCAATGTCACTCATGGTGGAATGGGTAAACGTTTTAACATCAATGGTAAACAAATCCTTCCAGGCATTTTTCATGGCAAGTAAAGCGTAGGGTATGAAATTTGGATGTCCATTTATGACAACATCATGCAACGGTTCCTGTTGATCAAATTTCATTAATACATATTACTCCCTTTCTTTTGCAACCTTAAACATACCTCTCTGAGACCACCATTGTTGGAGGATATATAGCTAGTTGCCTGGCTGCCCTTTTGACACAAACCCAATGTTGAACGAATTCCGGCCAATTGCTTTTTCAGTTCCTCCAACTGAAGCATTACCTTTTCCTGGCGTTTAACCACTGTTTGAGCATCATCACAAGAGACCTATTGTGAGTAGATATAAACAAAAATTGCAATAAATTCAAGGCATAAAATAAAAATTGATAACTTTTTAGGTTAGTTTTCAGCAAATGAATGAATGTAAAGCACCAATAGACCTCCGAACTCATTTCTCTTTAGCTAGCTATGTTCTGCGGAAACGAAAACTGCCAACACAAACTATATGGTTACACACTGAACACTTGATAGAGACTGCGGCCGAGAAATGAGCAAAAGAGGCAACCACTTTATATGGTGTTGGGCTGATGAATGAAAGCATAATTAAATGAATGGCGAAGAGAATTAGTGTTTTACAACTTTAACAGAGAGAAATTATGTTATTAACAGAGCAGATGGTGAGCTGTATGTACTGAGGTATGTCATCCCCTTTTGCCCTTGTGGCGTAGACGAAAACATATGATTTGGATTGTGCATCAATTGGTTAGTGAATTATGTCTGGTCTACCAAGTCCCTGGGGAGGCAGAGTTTAGTTAGAATGTTAGCCTTTAATACCCAAGATTCTACAAATAAGCTATGCCCACCTATGTGGATACAATAGAATGCCAAATCTAATGAGGTGCAGTATTAGACGACGATGTATACAATTTTGTTTGTCAGTTGGTTGGTTAGTGAGATCATAAATATATATTAGGTAAATTCCATAAAATAACCTTGAGAATCTGTTGTATCTGAGCACCCAATTTATCCAAATCAAGGGGACAACACGTGCTAACAGTGCCAGTGGTTGCCGCTGTGGTCGCACCAAAGAATTTCAAGAAGCCCTTCAAGAATGGTACAAACGTGAGATGATTAATATGGCAGGTAATAATGGCAATAGTAATAGTGTTATAATTTTCAAGAACTATGGCTAAAATGAAAATTGTAGTTACGTTTTCGTGAATAAGGAAATATAAAACTATTGCTACATGAGAATGATATCCAGGCTTTTGAAATAGGGAGACAGAATTTGTCTCATTAGTGCATGAGGAGGCAGGCCGCGACATGACAGCCCCGAGTTCTACAACATTCTTACCTCTGTCACTTTCTTGGGATTGGTCTTGTCTCCCACGATGGCTGTATTCAAATTTTTCATTTCGTACATGCACTTGGGGACAGTTATGTCAAATTGAGGAAGCAGAGTCTTTAGTTCATACATTTTCTGCCTTTGATTATTAATTGTTTTAACTTTTCTCAGCAAATTCAACGAAACTATTCACGTTTGCAAAAATATAGAGATGACAATCAATCGATTTCGATAGTTTCTTTTAATGTAAATCGATTGATCGCTCCATATAATCGAATCATAGGCATTTATAAGGTGTATTCGTGAATGTATTGGCTATATCAAATGTAATTTCGTACATTCACTTGGGGACAGTTATGTCAAATTGAGGAAGCAGAGTCTTTAGTTCATACATTTTCTGCCTTTGATTATTAATTGTTTTAACTTTTCTCAGCAAATTCAACGAAACTATTCACGTTTGCAAAAATATAGAGATGACAATCAATCGATTTCGATAGTTTCTTTTAATGTAAATCGATTGATCGCTCCATATAATCGAATCATAGGCATTTATAAGGTGTATTCGTGAATGTATTGGCTATAGCAAATGTAATTTCGTACATTCACTTGGGGACAGTTATGTCAAATTGAGGAAGCAGAGTCTTTAGTTCATACATTTTCTGCCTTTGATTATTAATTGTTTTAACTTTTCTCAGCAAATTCAACGAAACTATTCACGTTTGCAAAAATATAGAGATGGCAATCAATCGATTTCGATAGTTTCTTTTAATGTAAATCGATTGATCGCTCCATATAATCGAATCATAGGCATTTATAAGGTGTATTCGTGAATGTATTGGCTATATCAAATGTACTGTCATTTTGATAACACATGTTTGTAACCAATCTGCGTACCATGCCTGAGGAAACAAAACAAAAAATAAATGAAAAAACTTTCCAAAGAAAATCTCAAGAGTGTGATTTATAATATTTGGATTTTGAAGGTTTTGAATCGAATTTCATTATAAGATAATAGGAATCCATCTTTCAAAACCAATTAAATTAATGGAAAACAAAACCGGGAACACAATTAGTAAAACGCCTAATTTGTATTATTGTTTTCCGTTAGAACCCATAAATAGACTCCCTACACTCTCACAAGAGCAAAAAGGTACATAAGGTGTTCACTTACACTTTACTACTTTTTTTCAAACTTTTACAATTTTTTAAAAAACCAATTGCCAATTCCTGTCGTCACCCGTCAATTATTTTCTTAAGCGAAAATAGGATTTTGAATCCCTACAAACTTAGACGTTTACGATCTTTAGAACCCTACTTCAACTTGGTTGTTTGTTTTGATTACAACATTTATCCTCAATTCTGCTTTGTTTGTAGCTTCTTTTTAACGGCGATACTTTTCTTAAAAGAGTCTTTGTAGTCTGTGTGTGTCAATCGGACGTTATTTACCACGTGAAGCATTGTTAAAATCGAATTAATTCAATCAACAATTTAACAACCAAAACATGAGTGACGACGAGGAACAAATCAACCCAAAATCCCACAAACAATTGCTGCAGGCTATCAGCAGTTTGGGAAAGACGCAACATATACGGAAATCAACACGTGATGAACCAAAATTGGTTCAGGATGAATTTCAGTTGGTCAAGGGTTTGGCTGTTGTCTCCAAACCCAAGGCTCAGCCAGTAGCCATCAATGATTTGGTTCAAGTCTTGAAAGGTAATAAAAAGCTATTGGAGACGGGAAAAGAACTCAAGAAAACTGTCACTACAAAGAAGGTATTGGAGAAACCTTTGGAGAAGCCAGCTGCTGAGCGTATCAAGAGAACCATTGGTTATGAAAATGTTAAGGCAAAGCTGGCCAAATGGGATGCGGTGGTGGCATCAAATAGATCAGCGGAAACACAAGTAAGTTATAGAAGCTTTAGAAGATGTCACAAATGTATACTAATATTATCTTGCCTCCCAGGTATTTCCTCTGAAATCAGAGACGATTTATGTCAACACCTCTTTGCGTCGTAAACCCTTGGAGCAAAGTGTTAAAACCGACCTGATGTTACAAATGGAAGAATTGGAGAATAAATATGCCAAAATGAAACGTGAACATTTGGGCGACACTCAAGATCCTGCCGAATTGGAAAAACAAGAACAACAATTGCTGCAAAAGAAATTAACCAAGGAAGAACTGATAGCCAAGCGAAAGGAGTTGGCTTATTTGAAAATGCGTGAGGCTCAGAAGTCAGTAAAGGCTCGCCTGCAAAAGAAAATCAAATCCAAGAAATACCACAAACTGCTTAAGAAACAAAAAATGCAGGAACAAATCAAACAGTTTGAGCTATTGCAGAAAACTAACCCCGAAGCTGCCATGGAAAAACTCAACGCATTGGAAAAATCCCGTGTTCTGGAACGGGCCAGCTTGAGGCATAAGAACACTGGCACTTGGGCAAAGAATCTACAAATACGGGCCAAATATGATAAGGATGTGCGTAAGGATTTGTCAGAGCAATTACAAATAAGTCGAGAGCTGACACAAAAGGTCAAGGATGAAGACTCCGATCAAGAAATGCCGGAGGAAAAGAAAGAGGAACTAGATGAAGATGATCCCGAGTATGATCCTTTCAATCCGTGGACCACTGTGGGCAAAAAAGACAAGGCAAATGCAACTGAACAGGGTGAATCTAATTGGCGTAAATACTGGCTAGAACGCAATGATAATGAAAAAATGCTTGAAGAGTACAAGCGGTTGTTGAATGAGGAGCAGGGAGAAGAAGAGGAGGAGCAGGATCAGGACGAGGAGGAGAAGGAAGATGTTGCCAAAAATGAAGAGGGACCCTTAGAAGATAAAGACCAAAATGAGAGCGACCAGGAAAAAGATGCCGCTGTACCCAAAAAGAAAGCTAAAGGGGATACTAAAGCTCCTACTAAATCCC